ATACACACCTATAAATAGCATATTCATAACTGAAAAGGTTTATGATTAATTCCCAAAAGTGAACATGAGAGTAATTAAAATCACTTCAGTAAAGAAAAATTAAAGCATTCTAAATCTAAAGCTAAAGATCTTTCTTGTAAACCCTAGTCTACAAATCATAAATTTTATCGGCTAAAATTTGTCCATGGGTAATAATAGCAGAGGCACAGAATCTGGAGACTATCTCTGTGATTTGTTGATCTGAATCATCAAGAAGTAATGTTAGATAAAAAAAAAAAATTCTGATTTGCCTGGAAAGTCCTGTAGGATTGGGCTGATTAAATCAGAGCGGATGCCTTGGTAAAATGGCCAGTATAATAAGACGTGGGCTAGCTAGAGTCTCTATGTCCGAATGCTGAGCGATGGACCAAGCTTGAGACTGAGGGCCAAAGTTCATTTTACACTTCAGTCAGAATCCTATGAATGTCTTGTACATCGGAAAGCTCTCCTTGGGAAGTGGCTGCAATTCAAAATTGCAGAAGCAAAGTGTCTCACTCATGTGAGTGCCATGTGCATTTGGATTTGGTGGCAGACTTAGCTTTGCATTTGCTTGAGCAACATTGCAACTCAACACAAAGGTTGCATACTTCCACACACAGAGATCACCCAGATAGGAATCCTGCCTCCCCAAGTGAACTTTCCCTTTGCTCCCCAAATTTCAGCGTATCGTTTTGTAAAATGTTTCACAACCAGGGTCTAAATCCAATTGTTATAACTCCAACTGAAGTAGTCCTATGGACTCCATGAGATTAGTGCTGAGTTACTGATTCTGTGGGTCTTTCTTAGGACCATTGGCGGCTTCCATGTCACAGGGAATGGTGCATCTGCTCTGGGTTTCCCCCAAAACTTTAAAGGACCTATCCAAGGTGCCGAACAAGATGCTCAGCAGCACCTTGGATAGATCCTTTAAACCCCAGAATGGAATCACCATCCCATGGACATGGAAGCCATGAGCCACCAGAGACTGGGACATCTGTTGAGTCTCAGCCCAGGTGGAATGACCGCTAGAGTGTCCAGTCTTGGGAAAATGAGAACCAAAAGGCTGGTCCTCCCACCAGAATCCTCTCTATTGTGGCCAGAGGACAAGGAGGCTAGTAAAGGATCATTCTATTAATTGAATAAGTCAGCAAGTACAATTTAATAATACAATTTAAGATTGTCACTATGGTTGGCCCTCTGTATGCACAGAATCTGCATCCATGGTTGCACCCAAAAGCAGTCCAAAAATATGTACACACAAAAAGAAAAATTCCAAAAAGCAAACCTTGATTTTGCCATTTTTATAACACAACAATTTACTACACTGTTAAATATTACAGGACCTGAGCATCTACAGATTTTGATATCCACTGGGTGGATTGGAAGCAAACTCCAGTGAATACCAAAATCCTGTGTTTTGCAATGGCAGTTGACTCACAAACAGAAATTGGGTTTCTATCACATTGCTAACTGATGCCACGAAGATACTGTAGGAATGAGTTCGATAGTGGGTTGGGAAAGCTTCTGTTCCCTTTGAGAGGAAGCTTAGGATTCCCCTTCCCCACCCTACTACGACTCCTAAAGTCACTTCAAACTATGTCTCCCCATAAAGAGATGCCTGTGTGTTTTTACCTCTTTAGGCCATGCACAAAGCAGGAGCATGAACGACATCACGGACACACCAAGCACAGACCAGGTAGGAAGAAAATCCCAGAAAATCCTGCTGAAAAAACATGAATCCTAGGAGAATTAAAAACAGAGCTTACAGTTTTTCACGGGAGCATCCAATATTGAGAGTCAAGAGAGTATGCAAATTATTAAAGCCAGTATAGATTAAAAGCACACACAAACATCAGGGAAACATGTGTGTGTGTGTGAATGTATAATTTTTTTAAAAATAATTATACAGTCTCTAGAGTTAAAACCATTTAAAAGTCATGTTAAAAAACCCTGTCTGCCAAGGTAGCAGAGCTGTGCAAATAGTGTGGAGTTATTGAAGTTGTAAAACAGAAGTGCAAACCATGTGCTTTTCCTGATGTTGTTGGACTGCATCTCCTATCAGCTCTTGCCAGCATAGCCAAGGGTGAGGATTGCTGGGAGTTGCAGTTCAGTAGCAGCATCTAGAGCAGTAGTTCCCAACTTTTGGCCCTCCGGATGATTTGGACTTCATCTCCCATAATTCCTGACCATTGGCCAGGTTGGCTGGAGTTTCTGGGAGCTGAAGTCCAAAACAAATGGAAACCAAAGATTAGGAGCCACCGATCTAGAGGACTTCATGGCTCCTACTCCTGATTTACAACATCACCACCTACTCCTCTTTTACCTTTGATGTACCTTTGGCAGAAACTCTCAGAGAAAGCTTTGCCTCTTGTAAACCTAAGAGCAGTTCTCTATACTTTGGATTTGATTTCACACATGTTGGTTTTCCTGCAAATGTGCATCATGCATGCATGCATCCAACTGTTATTGCTTTATGGGGGGAGGACATGGGAGTGGGGAGGGTTAAGGCAAAGGCACGCAAAGGAGTATTTTGTTCCCAAGAACACTTTCCTTTAATCAGTCCCGAAGGCCGCGACAAAGAGAGTTTTACATGGAGTTTTACATGAAGCTTAGAGTTTGCTCTTAACTCCTGCTCTCTGCTTAGTCCAAAAGCTGCCCTGGCTTTTCCCCCAGTATGGATTTAAAAGCTTAGAAGGAAGAGGAGGGGAAGGCAAGAAAGAGGACAGCTTTCTACCTTATTCACATGCCTCTCCTCATGCCAGCCATGTAGATTATCCTAAACCCCAGCCTGGAGTTGGTTGGACCCATTTGGGAGCTCATAATAATGAACCAGCCCCAGGGGACTGACTACCTCTGAGCATACAGCAGACTAAATAGGGCTTCCAGCCGCCTTTGAGTCCATTCTGTGTTGCTTCTGCTGTAAGGAAGAAGGGGACCAGATGCAAAGAAGGGCTTTAATGTTTGCACAAAGGAAGGAATTCCAGAAAGGAGTTTGATCCAAAGCACCACCTTCCTGGAAACCTGGCCCGAATCCTGTTGGGCATCTTACGCATGCACAAATTCCCCTGCAGAAGCAACTGGGCTGAGGCTGAGGCTGAGAGAGTGTGATTTG